CTCACCTAAGGTAAAGTACACAATCTAACAGAACAATTAACTATTGAAGAAATTAAATTCATAGCTTAAAACCTTCTAAAATAAGAAATATCAAGGCCCAGATGGTTTTTCTGGAGAATTCTACCAAACATTTAAGGAAGAAATACAAGTTTTATATGCTCTCATGCAGAAAATAGAAAGGTATGCATTAACCCAATTCCAAAAACGGTCAAAGACAAAGAAAGAAAACTGCACACCAATATCCCTCCTGAACAAAGATTTTTAAATTCTTAACTAAATGTTAAAAATCGAATCCAACAATATAAAAAGAAGAATATATAAGAACTAAGTGAAGTTCGTATCAGAAATACGTATAAGGTGGTTTGTTATTTGAAAATCAATCAGTGCAATCCGACATGTTACGACTAAAAAGAAGAAAACTATATGATCTCATCAACTGATGCAGAAAATTGTTTGACAATAATGAACATAAATTCAGCAAATTAGGGATAGATTTCCTTAGCAGAAAGATTTCCTTAATAGATAAACCTTAACAAATGTCATAGAATTGAAATGATATAAAGTATGAGTTCTAACTATAGTGGAATTAAACAAAAAATCAATAATAAATAAATAAAAAATCTCCAAAACAAACAAAAAAATAGATTTCCTCCATCTGATAAGGAATGTCAAAGTCACACCCTTTATGTACTATGCCATTAGTACAGTTAATTGCATACTTCATATGACTGAATGTTTTCCCTCTGAGATTTGAAAAAGTTGAAAATGTAATTTTTAACATAAAAAATAAATGAAGGAAGTCATTTTTCTGAATGAAAAAAGCCTTATACAAAACAGCATTTATTCTATTTATAAACCATACCATGTTTTAAATCAGGCAAAACTAAATTGTAGTGAAAAAAGTTAGAGAAATGATTGCCTCTGGATGCAGATGAGGTTTGAATGGGCAGGGTCAGAGGGAAATTTCTAGGGTATGGTCATGTTATATGCTTTCATAAGGATTTGGGTGACACAGGTGTATGTATTTTCTGCATTTTTCAGAACTCATCAAATTGTTTTCTCAAGACTCTGCATCTCACTGTACATAAAATTTACCTTAAAATGATACTGCTAAAAATATTACATTCTAATTAATGATTTGCATGCTGAAGTGTTTAGAAGTTGCTATGCACTGAATGTTTGTGTTCACCCCAAATTTATGTTGAAAATTTAAAATTTTGAAATTCAATATGTTGAAATCTAATCCCTAATCTCCAATGTGATGATATTTGAAGACGAGGCTTCTGGGTGGTGATTAGGTCATGAGGGTGGAGCCCTCTTGAATGAGATTAGTGACCTTATAAAAGAGAACCTAGAGAGCTCCCTTGCCCATTCCACCATGTGAATACACAGTGAGGAGACAGCCATCTATGCATCAAGAAGCAAGCCATATCTTCTGGCACCTTGATATTGGACTTTCTAGTCTCAAGAACTGTAGCAAAATAAATTTCTGTTGTTTATAAACCACTGGTCTATGGTAATTTGTTATGGTGGCCCAAACAGACTAAAACCTCTGAAGTCTACAACTTACTTTGAAAATGTGTGTGAAAAACTTTCCAGTGAGTGTGAATAACACAAATATTCATTTGTAACCTCAGTGTGTACTGTACAGGGAATTATTCCCACCAAATTAGTTCTAACTCTAAGCTCCTATTCTGGTAGGTAGGCAGAAAATAGTTGCAACTGGGCACCCTCCCCCTGCCTAGGGCTACATACACATTTAGGAATTGTATAAGCTACCAGGAAAGGTGTGGAAAGGCCCCCTAATCCTCCAGCTAGGATGATCACTAGGAGACTGTTTTTGCCCTAAGCCTGATCAGTCTCTGAATGTGTCTAATGGTCTGCAGCTCCTGTGTCACTTTGTTGCACTATAATTTGTGCCAATATTGGGAGCCTTGGAATACCAGGGCTTATTCTTATCATCTGGGACACAACATGGAAAATAAAATGAATTTTTCTTAAAGCTAAATGTAAAGGAATTCGATGTAAAGTAATTGGCATCTCAGCACTTTGAGAGGCCGAGGCATATGGGTCAATCGAGGTCAGGAGTTAAGAGACCAGCCTGGCCAACATGGTGGAAACTCCCGTCTCTTAAAAATACAAAAATTAGCGGGCATGATGGTGCGTGCCTGTAATCCTAGTTACTACTCGGGAGGCTAAGACACAAGAATTGCTTGAACCCAGAAAGTGGAGGTTGCAGTGAGCTGAGATCATGCCACTGCACTCCAGCTGATGATGAAGTGAAATTGTCTCAAAAAAAAAAAGAATATCCTTTCTACTTTCTTGATGTTAAAATGTCTTTTATGAAATAACCGTAAGATATTTAAGATGTCCTTATTTAGCAAAATAAGTGTTGGTACCTTTATGTGCGTTACAATTTTGGGGTGCATGGGGGTGGGGATGGTTGTCAAAGATAAATAAAACTGGACATTAAAGTGGTGAAAACCAATTTTATTCAGTAATTACTAACATAGGGAAAGAGCATTGCTCCATTAAAATGCAGAAGTAATTGGGCAGCTTAAAGAGAGAATAAGGGAGGGGGAAGAGCAAGAATACATACAAAAAGTTACAAAGTCAGTCAGTATAAAAGTGATTAGACCAGTTGTGTCAGCTAGCTGGCAATTGTCATCGAAGTCAGGATTCTACCCTCCCATCAAGAATGGGAGATAGCAACCTTCCAGATGATTAAATTTCAAAGTAATGGCTTTCAGGTCCTTAAGACACTCCTGAGTTGTAGGAGAGAAATTATACATGTAAAGAGGATAGAGGAAGGACCCACAATTGTAAGCTCTTTTTTTCTAAATGCTCCGAGAAAGAGGGTCAAGGGCCTATGGCCAGGTGGGCAGTGTTGAGCCTTCTCTGGAGACATTTAACTGAGGGGTCTGGAGAGGGTACTGTGGTCATCCTAGGAACAAGACCTTATGCTGCTACAAGCCTTGGTACAGTTTGGTGGTCTCTTTTTGCTGAGGTTTGGACAAGGTCATTATGTGACAAGAGTTCTGCAGTTCTCATGGTCCATATATCATTGTTAGGTAAAATCTGTTAGGTTGAAAATTAATTATCTACTGTAATCTCTTTGATACATACATTGGTCCTTAACTGAGGCAATTAAAGACAAGGGGTCACAGATCTCTAGCTTCTAAAAGCCCATAGCCTCAGAGGGGCACTGCCCCTCAATGCTCACCCACACACACCTCCCCTTTCTGTTACTTAAAGAAAAAAGACCAAGGCCTGACGACAAATTTTAGCATCAAACTTCTTGAGTGGTGCATGCCAAAGGTTAGAAAAGGAGGTTTTTCATCCAGAGAGAACTACATTGTCCCACACCATTACAAACCAAACACCTTAACAAAGGTTTGAAATAAATTCTGAAACCTCCAGGTATAGGGGACACAGAAAACAGAAGTGCAAGAAAGAACAGCAACTGTTTATCTGAAAGGCCTCTGGATAACTTCAAAGAAACTGGCTACCCAAATTAGCTACAGTAAGTCCTAAATTAAGTAAAATAGAATAAAACCGTCTTGAGATTTTAATGTAACTCCAAATGTTAACATAGTTTCTTCAGATCTACTTTTTGAAAGCTTCCTAGAAATGTATTAAGGTAAAATGTGACGTGTCACTGGCTGCATTCAACTTAAAAAAAAAAAAAAAAAAAAACCCTCTATTTTTTTTTTTTTTTTTTGAAAGGCCACCGGCCCAGCCTTTCTTTTCAAGCTATATATTAGTATCAAAAACTTTACGTTTCTAATTTAATCCACTCATTGCAATTGCTTCTGGATGCATTCCATTTATGCTAGTAAAATGTATTATTAAGGAAAGACAAATGAAGTCAGTTATTTGGATTAATCATTAAGTCTATCATTTTAGTAAAAAGCAAGGAACCTTCCTTCAGGGCTAACATATTAAATAGGCCAAACCACTGACTTGTCATTTAAAAATTTCTTAAGACCACGTTCGTAAGTAAAAAAGTCATGCACGGCCAGGCACGGTGTTTCACGCAATACCAGCACTTTGGAAGGGAGAGGCATGCGGATCACCTGTCGTCAGGAGCTCGAGACCAGCCTGGCCAACATGGTGAAACCCCCGTCTCTACTAAAAACACAAAAATTAGCCAGGCATGGAGGGGCTTCCTGTAGTCCTAGCTACTCGGGAAGCTGAGGCAAGAAAATTGCTTGAATTCTGGAGGCAGAGGTTGCAGTGAGCCGAGATCGCGCCACTGTACTCCAGACTGGACGACAGAGCGAGACTCCCATCTCAAAAAAATAATAATGATGTCATGCCTAATGGTTATTTATAAAATACTCGCATACATTTTACGTTAATATTCTTACGAAATAATGTAAAGTTTATATAATTATTTTGACAGCTATTCCTATTTTAAGTAATAATTGGGTAAATTTAGCGGCAAATATAAGAAAAAATTGCCTGGCAAGCTATTTTCCTTCACTATTCTGAGCACTAAGCGTTACAAAAACAGATACTCGCTACAACAGTGAAGGAGAAACTGCATTCCCCATTACTGCAAGAACAAAGGTTTTCAAAAAAAATTTTTTAAGCACTCGACGGCCGCCTGTTCTTTATCATCCCACCCCTGCCCGCCTCGGGTAACGGTTTTGGGGCCCGTTTGCTTGATGCGTCTGGAACTCCTCAGGCGGCGGGCGTCTCCAAGAAAAAAAATTGCCCAGAGCAGAAGCGCTGGTGGCCCTCGCTGGTCCCGCGGGCCGCCTCCCGCTCCTGCAGCCACTGAAGAAACCACTCAGCCGCGTCTCTCGCCACCCGTCCCCGCCACTAGGCTGCCGCCTCCGCCGCTGCACAGGGAACGGTGGAGACCCGCCCCTGCATGTGATTGACGGGCAGTCTCATCCAATGGTCAACGCGCTCGGCCCCAGCGGGCTGGGCAAGGGCCGCGGCTCGCGGAGGAATCTCTCTTGCCCTTTAGTCCCGGGCAAGGTGTTGCGGCCGGCGCCATTTTCTCGAGCTGCCTGTTTCGGGTGCCGCCATGTTGGTGAGGAGAAATCACCGTTACGGCCACTGTCCAAATCCCCGCGTCGGTGCACGCCGCCCGCCCGCTCCCACGCCACAGCCACCGGCGGCGAATAGAGACTAGAGCGGCAGCGCCGGCAGCGCGGGGCCGTTGCCCAGTGTTTGCAGTTAGAGCCCCACCTCTCTGGCGTGGTTGTTAATAGACTGGAAAGTCTGTGTCTGTGTCGCTCACTAGTAACCGTGAGTTTTTACCACTTCGTCACCTGTCGGCGGCGGCCGGGAGCAGGTTCCCGCAGGCGGCGCAGGGGTCTTCCCCGCGCCCCGCCGCCGCCGGCCTCGCAGACCTGCCCTCCAGCCCCGCCCCGTTCTTGACCAAACATGACAGACTCTGAACATGCAGGGCACGACAGGTCGGGAACCCTTCTTGTCTGTCTTTCTGTCGGATGAGAGGAGGGGTCTGGGGCGGCGGGAGCGGGCCGGGGCCGGGCGCCTCCTGCATGACCTAGACGTCTCTGTGTGGCTCCATCAGTTCCATGACGCGCACCCTTATGTAAACCGCTGGATCGCGGCCGCGGGAGAGGTCTGCCCGGCCGCGCCCGCCTCCCCGAGTCGGGGTCGCTGCTCGCCGGCGCCGGCCCCGCCCCCGGCCGGGCACGTGCGAGCCCCCCGCCCCCGGGCGGGCTCCGTGTGCGCCGGGCGGCTCTCAGTGTCCCGGCTCGGTGCTGCGGTCCTGCCTCTTCCCGTCCAGGGGTCGGTGCTCCCGGCCAGATAGGACCAGCCAGGAATTTTCAGGAACGGGTGTTTGATATTTGACTACTACCCGAGAACCGAGAACACGTCTGAAAAATAAACATGTTTGGTTTTCAGGAAATTTTTAAGCAGCCCCCAATTTCAGGAAATTTTTAAGCAGCCAGCTGTTGTATACAGTCTTATCCCTTGGAATTTGAGATGGCAAGTTTCAAGTTCAGTATGTTAACACAAAATAATTAGGCTTTGCAGAAACTTAGTGTAGCACAGTTTTACCCTAAAGGAAAAACTCCATGGATTATTCAGGCTAGCCCAGTTTTCTAGATGGTGTGTATCTCTTGAATATTTAACTGAGATTCTGATTTTTTATTTTTGCTCTGTGCCATAAGCGGCACATTCTTGATTCCATTCAAGTTTGGGGACATTTGCAAAGTATACTGTAGCATAGTTAAATTTTGGTTAGACTTAAAATTTTATCATTCGTATGTGTTAATACGTATCTTTAATAATGAAAACGGGGGCTTTCATTAAACTTACTGAAACAAAATTCATTGCATCTGATTCTTACTTAGAATATTTGAAAATCTCGAACCTCATAGAAGTAATCAAAAATATACATTGTACTGTGGACTATATACGTTACCTAAGTTTTATCTGTAGTAATGTGATCTGCTTGGTAAAGCAAACTAAACACATTTTTAAAACCCAGAAGCAAAAATGACAAACTGCTGAAATTTGAAATATCTAAATACCTAGCGGTCTTGAGAGGGATGAAGGTTGATATTTCAACAACTTCAATACTGCAATAATAAAAGTAGATTCCCGGAGGGCACGTCAATCAAAAGTGTGATAATTTTTTGAAAGTAAAATGCACTCTTAAAAATGATAGATGCATAAGCTTGCACTTGGCACATTTTAAATGATTTTTTTAAAACATTATCTTTTATATTAAAAAGAACATTCTTAGAATGGGTTGACTGATATCTTGAGTAGCTTCCCACTCGAGTATCTGTGGACAAACCAATGATGGGGTTTTGCTAATGGAGCGTAAAATTCTTTCTTTTGTATGGAAGAAGGAAATCTATTCTCTCTCACAGAGTAACTTCAATATGTGGGGTTACATATTGTACATTATGAAAAAATCATGTCAAATTCAGGTATCAAAATAATTTTGCTAGTAAGGAACTGTGATGGTAGACCTTTTAAAGAATTTGAAATTTTAAAATATTGATTTAGAAGTGTGAGCAGTGGCTCACACCTGTAATCCCAGCATTTTGGGAGGCTGAGGCAGGCGGATCACCTGAGGTGGGGAGTTGGAGAGCAGCCTGACCGACTTGGTGAAACTCTGTCTCTAAAAATAAAAATAAAAATGTTGATTTAGAGGTTAAAAAGAAAACTCTAAAGAATTCTTTGTAAGATATGTTAACAGGTTGGTAGTAAGAGCTAAGGGTTAAGATTAGTCTATTTTATTTAAAATTAGGACTAAACATTTTCTAATGATTTCTGAAATAAAAAGGTTAGCTCCACTTTAACTTATCCAATTGTTAAGAGGCATCATTGTTCTGAGGCGAAAGCGATGGTTTATTTTTTTCACACTTTTTTGGTCAGCCCACATAAAAAACAAAACAACTACATCAAAAACAAAGTGAACTAAAAGTCAGGAGAAATTCTGCAAGATCAGATCAATGGTTCTAAACCTTCCCCAGGGAACTTTTTTAAAAAAGTATTGCTGCTATTTCTGTTGGTCTGGACCTCAGCCTGGGTTTTAAGAGTTCTAAAAGCCCCCCAGGAAATTCTAATATGTGCCCAATTGAGAACTGCTATACTAGATCAGTGTTTCCTAATGTTAATCATCAAAATCACTTTGGGGAATACATTTTTGTTCTGCCCAGAGCAACTGAATCAGAATCTCTAGGGTATTTTTCATAGGCTCCCTGGATAATTCTTAAGAAATTTCAGAAAAAATGGACTAATCTGTGGGCCCTTCAAATATTCTATCCTTCTACATTATGGCTATTTTATACTGTAATGAAAGTTCCTGTGAATTAAGTGGAAAAAAAATATGAAACTTGGTATATGGAGCTAGGCTTTGTCTCAAGGATATTCTCTTTCTTTCTTTTCTTTCTTTCTTCTTTTCTTGAGACGGAGTCTAACTCTATCACCCAGGCTGGAGTATAGTGGCAAGACCTTTGCTCACTGAAACTTCCGCCTCCTGGGTCTGGAGTAGCTGGGATTACAGATACCAACCATCACGCCTGGCTTTTTTTTTTTTTTTTATTTTTTTTTTTTTTTTTTGTATTTTTAGTAGACACTCCATCTCACCATGTTGGCCAGGCTAGTCTCAAACTCCTGACCTCAAGAGATCCGCCTACCTTGGCCTCCCAAAGACCTGGGATTACAGGTGTGAGCCACTGCACCCAGCCAAGGATATTCTTCTTATAACATTTTCAAAAATTAAGGTATACTGTGTGGGCAGGAAAAAAAAAAATGAAGTCTATGATTTATATTTACAATTGCTTTGATTTTATACAAAATATTACTGTTTATGTGAGAATGAGATTCTAAATGTAAATGGAATTTACAGAATGCATAATTTTTTCTCCTTTAAGGAAATAGAGTCTTGCAAGCCAGGCATGGTGGCTTACACCTGTAATCCAAGCACTTTGGAGGCCAAGGCGGGTGGATCACCTGAGGTCGGGAGTTCAAGACCAACCTGACCAACAGGGTGAAATCCCGTCTTTAAAAAAAAGAAAGAAAGAAAGAGAATGTCGCTAATGCCCAGGCAGGTCTTGAACTCCTGGGTTCCAGCCATCCTCCCATTTCAGCCTCTCCCAGAGTGTTGGGATTAATAGGTGTGAGCCACCATGCTCAGCCTTGGACGTGTTAGATGGTGAACATTTTGCTCAAGATTGTTTGCCAAATGAATAACTTTAAAAAAAAATCCATTTAGTGTACTTCCCTTTAAATATTTTCACACCTAGAGGCAAAACATTGTATTTTATAAAATGTTAATATAAAAATACTTGTAAATATACTTTTGGCTATGTAGATTGTAGTAGAGGACTTTTGCATATGCCTGGAGCCTAGTTTCTAAAAGGTCTTTGGAAATAAATAATAGACATGGAGAGGAAGGAGTTGGGGGAAATCAGAGGGGGGTATAATCCTTGTCTCTTGTCATTCAGTTCTGTTTCATTCAGTTCTCTCAGGCACAACTCCAGCCGCTTAGTTTTATAGTTCAGCTGGATGTTGACCCAATTAAGACAATTCACAAACAGCTCCTGAAGATGAAATACTGTGAGTCCCTGCTTTGGGCACATCTACAGTAGAATAGGATAAGATAAATATAATCCAAGTAATTGTTGCAGAATTTTCTGAAATATGCTAATGCTAAAAGGTTTTGTAGGGCCTGTACTGGGGGAAACAATTTTAACATGAACAGTTTAAGAACTTGTGAGTCTCAAAAGAGTCTTTAATTGATAGGTGATATGGATAATACTCTCCTTTGGGAGGAGGTTTATAATGTATAAACAGCTTCCCCACCCTTCTCTCACTGTTTTCTGTCCTTCTGTACAACAAGAATAACAAAACTCCAACTAGTCAGAATCACCAGTGGTTTATGACCCCCCCCATATAGATTGATAACTTATTAAATGACTACACTGGAGAATCTGAAGGGATGAGGATGGAAAAGATTATACTTTTAATTTGCAACAGGGCTTTCATTTGATTCTCACATTAATCCCACGTGGTAGTTAATTAAGGTAGTATTACAAGGTTCAGTGAGTTGTCTGAGATCTCACAAATACAGCCTAGATAAGAACCCAGGTATGCAAACTTCTACTTGCAATATTATTTCACTCTTCATTAAGTTTGCATAGCAAACTAATGGAATAAGTCCTGGGCTTTAATTCTTGAGTAGTCTGGAATTGTAACGTGTTACATTTGAGAGCAAGCTCTTCATTTTGAATAAAACCTTGGTTTTGATCCTGATCTTCTAACTTGGTTAATGTTCTTCCCCTTTTCATGATTTTTCTTATTTGTGAAATGAGGTAGTTACACTAGATCATTTTCAATTTTCCTTCCCACTTTAAAAACAATTTTAATTTTAAAAAGTTGCAGATGCCTTTTCTCAGATCAGAGTATACTTTTTGCTCTACATAATATCTGGTTTGTAAATTAGTATGTTCTGTGGAGTAAATACCTCTCCTGACTAGCCATTAATTTATTTTTGATTCCTGAATCCACTAATTTATTGTTAAAATTACTAAAGGATGTTTTTCTTTAGTAAATGTAAAAACTCATATCAGGCCTCAGGTTTAATGTTGGAAAGCACTCTGACTCTTGGGAAGACTTTTTTCCCCCCAACCTCTCATAAACAAATTGTTTCATTCATTTTAAAATTTCATTCATTACATTTTCATTTTTCAGCAGACTTACAGTGTTTCCTCTCTGCTAAATATAGTGTTAAGCACTGGCAAAACAGCTCTGGACACAACATCATGAACTTGCTCTCTGGGATCTTATACTGTAGTTACAGAAACAGATTGGTAAATACATAGTTATAGCAAGTACTATAATGGAGGTATGAACTGAGTGCTATGGGGGTACAGGTGAAGGCTTCTGGGAGACATCATGGCATAGCTAGATCTGGAGGATGAGTAAA